TTTTCTCTTTAAAAAAATGCTATTTCTAATTTGTATTAATAAATTTGAAAAGAAAAAAAAATTTAAGAGAGGCGCACGCCTCATGCCTCGTGAGGCGCGAGCCGTGAGGCGTGCGCCGCAGCTTTAGAGGCGCATGCCTCCTATTTTTGCCTCAAAAACAAACGCCTCGAGGCGAAACATATACGCCTCACACTGAGGCGCGCCTCAGGACCGCCTTTTCATACCATGCTAACTAGTATTTCTCTCCACAGTTGAAGACCTTTTACAGCGAGACGGTGGTTTTCAAAGTTTATTCTAGGTCTATTGTGGTTTTTATTTTATAAATAGTAGTATTTGAAAGAAACTCTCCCACTCTATGAATTTCTCTTGAAACATAAATAGCCGATTTTGGTCAGTATAAAATCAAGTAAGACAATCAATGGTGCATGTGTAGTGTATATAATTATGATTTTTTGAAAATTGAGCAATGGATTGGAAGTTAAATCAACAAAAGTCGGTTATTCCTAGCAAAATAAGGCAAACATTAGCAATACAATTATAATACAATATTTAAATCCTGAAAAATATCAGGACCAAACGAAAATACAAGAAGCTTGAGATATCACTAGATATGTTACTTAAATGTGCTCACTATCTTATTATTTTCTACACGTGGTGATGATATTGTAAAGATAAAGCATAGATTTGACATAGTGGAGACAGGGTTCCTTTAATTCATTATCATCTCAGTCAGATGCATGTAGACTTTTTTAGGCATTGTAGATGTCCAGGTCTTTCAAAAGATGTTACTTAAATTTATGTAATAGATTGAGTGGAATAACCGTGAGAGAGAATGGATAATATCATCGTAGTATGCAGAATCTTTATTTTTTCCCTCTATTTATTTAGTTTAATTTTCATCTGTTAATTGCTATTTTGACATTATGTTGATAAAACATACCCCCTGAGACGAACCTTATAACAAGATAGGTAAGTGCAGTGGATCTGTAAATTACAATCGATGGCAATAATCTTGGAAGATTAGATGATAAAATATATTATGCAGAGCGTACGTGTAGGCTGTATTTGATTTTTCATAACAGATAATCCTTCGGTTTGTTGGATATTTCATTTTTATGTGTGTATGTATATATATATATATATATATATTATGCATAGGAGTTCTTAATTTATTGCTCAGAAAATCTCCTCATGTGTTCTGACATAAGAAAGGTGGCACTAACCTTCACATAATTGTATCCTTTAGATTCTATACTAGGGGACATGAAGAGGTTGTGCTTTAGTATAGTTTATTTTTGTTCTTGTGGAACTGTGCAATTTTCTGACGTGGTTTAAGTTTTTCACTTTATACTTTTACATTCAGACCGATTATACTGTTTTGCAGTAGACGAGCTAAACCTCCACCCACATACCTTTCTTACTTCTCCATTTGTTTGGAGTTACTGAATTGGGAGACATCTCTCTCTCTTTTTTTTTTTTTTTTTTTTTTNTTCAGCTCGATGTGAAGAATGCATTCCTAAACGGGGATCTAGTCGAGGAAGTCTATATGGATACGCCAGCCGGTTTTGAAATGAGCAAACAAAAGGAAAGGTGTGCAAGCTTAAAAAGGCGTTGTATGAACTCAAACAATCACCTCGAGCATGGTTTGATAGGTTCACTAAGGTGCTTAAACAGGATGGTTACTCACAGTCTCAAGCAGACCACACATTATTCATCAAACATTTCACAGATGGGAGAATTAC